GTACAGTATGTGTGCACTGTTGTTTGTTTAACTGGATGTGGGGAGGGAATCAGGCGAAGGGAGCCTGCTCTTGTGTTGTTCTTCTTCAGGGAGTCTGATCACTGAGTGTCGGCACATGGTTAAGGCAGCAGGCCTTGCTTCCTAGGCATCTCCTTTTCCACTTGCTCTTCTGCCTAATTAGAGGCAGGGCATGCTCAAGTGCAGAGAGCCTCATTCTTGATGTGAGTGAACCCAGGCACCAGTCCTGGTTTTGCTCCTTTGCAGCCATGTGACCATGAGCCAGCCATTTCCTCTCTTAGGGCCTCAATCTTTACATCTATAATGTGGGAGTGCAGATCCCTGTCCTGTCCATTGGGAGGCCAGTAAAAATGATAACGACTAAATAGTTATCATAGGGCTTTACGCAGATTAACTCATTTAAGTCTCATCACTTTATGCAATTATTATCACCATTTTACAGACAAGGAATATAAGGTATAGAGAGGTTAAAAAAAAGCAAATAAAACAACACAAAGAACCCCAAAAAACAACTTGTCCACATTCAGAGAGCTTGTAAGTAGCTGAGCTAGAATTTACATCGAAACAATCTGGCTCCAGAATCATGCTCCTAACTACTATGTTAAGCAAATGATTTATTTATAGAGCATCCAACAGCCAGTAGGTGCTTAACAAGGGTAGTGGTTGACAGCATTGTGTCAGGTGTTTTGCACATAAGGAACTGCTGGCTTGGTCCTCGTAGCCAGTCATTCAGACCTATGGTTCTGGGACCTAACCATGCGACAGCCTCTGGGACCATGCCTCTGCAGGTGTCCACCAGAGACTCCCATATCCCTTACCCCTCTCCTAGGCTGTTTAACACTTTCTGATGAATTTGGACTCTCTAGTTGTTTTCCTCCCTGTCTGGCAGCTGCGGTGGGCAATGCAGAGCTATGAAAGGACATTTTCTTTTGTTTCAGCTTTGATGCTGGGGATTTTGCATATCATTATGTTCATGGCTACGGACCTGCCATTATCTTCCCTGGATTCTTGCACAGTTTATGAATTTCCAAAAGAATCTGGCTCTCGGTCTGCTTCTGCTTCAGGATAGGCTGCCCAAGCCGCCCTCTGCTTCCTCTGGGTGTGGCAGGGAAGGCTTGTTCTTTTTCACTGTAATTTTTTAATACTCATCTTGATACATGGATCTTTATGAACCCAGAATCAACCAGGAACCTGCTTAAGTTTTTGCATATCTGTGTACATGTGTGTATTTGTGGCAGAGAGACAGTGCTAAGAACATGAAAAACAGCTTTTCACAAAAGTGTTTAATATTTTAGTACTTTAGTTTCCAAATCCAAAGCTGATTGTTTTCTGGAAAAGCCTGAATTTCCTGTTTTACCATCTTTCATTAAGGACCACCCATAATAATATCATATCCCCAGCTAACTCTGTTTAGGGGGTAAACACTTAACTGCTGAATTCATTACTGCTGAGCCTGAGTTGGTAACAGATGCCTTTGGAATATAAGCCCCCACGTCTAATAAGGCACAGGCTCATGATGCTCTTGGAATATGGTGGGGAGAGACGGCTGAAATTTATTTTGTGAATAAAGCAATAAGCCACTAAGCAAAGCTAATATGTTCCAGCCCAGACAGAAAGACACGATCATTCAGTATTTATGTAGCAACCCATTCCTCAGTGGGACTGCAAGTTCTACCATTAAAATTGTCAGAATTCTTTAGAGACCCACTGCATTAAGTCATTTAAAAATATCACAGACTTAAAACAATCTGAATTATTGGATTTTCTCGCTGCTTCTCGGTAAGCATGTTTGCTGTGGCAATTTCCTGCTCAGTCCAAGGTGTAGCCTATGTCAGTCAGGAAAGCAGAAAATTTCCATGCAGAATTTTTATTCAGGAGCCCAATAGTCCCTAACAGTTAAAAAAAAGCCAGACATAATTTAATTTATATTTTTTCTCAAACTTTTTCTTTTGACATAATTTGATATTCCTAGAACTTTTGCAAGAAAGGTACAAAGTATTTCTCTGTATGCTTCATCTAGAATCCTCAGATGTTAACATTTGTTATATCATTCTCTCTCTCTATATAAATAGAGAAAAATGCATATTATTGTTCTGTCTGAACTGTTTGAGGGTTAGTTGTAGATACGACGCCTATCCCTTTACCCCAAAGTACTTCAGTGGGTTATCCAAAAAGGATATTTTGTTATATAACCATAATACAATAATCAAAACCAGGAAATTAACATTGATAAAATACTATAATCTAGTGACTTTATTCTAAGTATGTCATTGGCTCCAATTAATACACTTTAGAATAAAAGAAAATCCCGGATCATACGTTCTAATCACTTGTCAAGTTTGCTTTGCTTCTGTTAATCTGAAATAGTTCCTCAGTTGTTCTCCGTTTCATGAGACATTGACATTTTTAAAGAGAGCATGCTGTTTATTTTATAGAATTTCCCCTCTGTTTGGGTTTGTCTGGTGTTTCTTCACAATTAGATTCAGATTATGCATTTTTAGCAGGAATACTACGGAAGTGATATTGTGTCCTCCTCAGTACATCATATCGGAAGGTATATCATGTCAACTTGTTCCGTGACTTCAAAGTCAGATGAAATGTAAAATAATCTTTCATCAGAACTGTGGTTTGTTAAAAATTGCTTAGACGGGTTTCATACTTACTCCAAATTTCCTATTACAGGTCTTTAAAAAACAGACTCAAAGACAAGGAAGCTGAAAGCTTTACATATGCTCAGGAGAAAATGTAGCCATTAAAAAAATTGCCACGTGAGAGTTATGAAATTTCCCTAAATTCATTTTGCAGAATGAGAGCTGTAATTTAAACGCGAAGTTATCAAGAGCTGAGATAAACCACACATCACGTGCAATTTAATCTGGCAAGGAAACAGGCCACTTGGAATTGCTAACTAGGCCTAATTCATTACATCTTGTAGAATGCTGTACTTTTGGTCTTACGAGTCTTTCAACTTGTGCATTAATATATTTACCCACACCTCATGGAAAATGTATGGGGATGGTAACAGAAATACTGTATCCTTGTTTAAATCACATTACATTTTTTAAACAGCTCCAGTGATTGCTTAGAAAGATCACACCTTCTTCTGAAGTATTTATGAAACAATTATTTACATTACATTAAAAACTTTAATTGCCGTGAAGCACGTGCTCCAAGACACAATATTGAAAAATCATCAAAAATATCCATCACGATTCTCTCTCCTTTACAACTCTTCTAAACTTTATCTTTTTTATAACCTTCTGTATTGATCTATTGTCCCAACTAAGAGTGATGTCAGAAGTCCAAGCTAGGTCATAAAAAGAGAATATAATTTCCATTTGCTGTCTATAAAAGCAAATCTTTTGACCAGAGAAAAAGAAGGAAAAATGCCCCTTTTTGGGGGTGGGATTTGGCAGGGAAACATGCCAGAGAGGGAGAGTGTCCCAGGGTGTATGTGGGGAGGGTAGGTGGGTTAGTGATGGAGGAGGTTGGGAGTATGAGTTCTTCCTGGGGAGGGGGGTTGAGGGCACTGGGAGGGGACTGGGGACCTCTGGCTTGCACAGGGGAAAAAGAGGGAAAATGTTAAAGAAGAAATCTGGTCAACTCTATTGTCCAGCATCTGAGAAACGGCAAAAGATAGGAACCTCCCTCCAGCTGAGTTGAAGACCCTCTCCCAAAAGACAGTCATAATAAGGATCCCTATACTGCAAAGGACCTGGGGTCTCCAGCGTGGTGAAGTACCCCCGAGTAATAATGACAATAACGAGAGCGGAAACCTCTGCAGTTATTAAGGATCCAGAGCCCCCACAGCAGGGCTAGGACCCCTTCATAACTATAAAATCATAACAATAAAAGCCAACTCACTTTCGGAAAGTGCTCCAGAGTTTTTTCTAAGCACCCCTTCCATTAATTATCATAACAGTAAAAGGGCCTCCCATTTTAAAGTTATTGAGGAGCCTTTATAATTGGGCTAAAGACCCCCCCCCCACGCATATAACAGAAATCCCTATTGCAAAGCACATGAGCGTCCCCCCACCGCCGCCCTGCCCCGCAAAGAACCCTAAGCTCTGGCTAAGGAGCCCCCCCCCGCCCAATAATAATCATAACTATACATATAATGGCTTGGAAACTGCGTGCGGCAGTGGTGACATTTCCCACAACTCAGTGGCGCCCCCGGGCGGTTCCCACCCACCCGCTGGTCCGCTCCCACAGCCCACCGGGCCGGCGAGTCGACGCTGTCCGGGCTTCTGGCTGCTACCCTCGGATCTGTAGCTTAGCTGGCAGAGGAGCGGCGGCAGCCCGAGGCACGTGTTGTGTGTGCTCCGATTGCAAAAGAAAAAAAAATGCATTGCAAACTATTAACTTTTTTTTTTGAGTATGCAATACAGGGGGTGGGGTAGTAGACAGGTGCGGGGAGGAGGGTAGACGCCCCGCGCGCTGGCCTCCCGCAGCCCACCCTCCCAAACTTCCCTTTGCATTGATCAGCACGTTACGTCAGTATTGATAAGTTTGCAAAAAGCCAAAGTCAAGTGCAATCGCGCGGCACACCGACCCCGGACTTGGGGGGGGAGATGCAGCGAGCGCTTCCCGGGCCCGGGAGCCGGCTGCAGGCAGGGCAGCGGCGGCGCCGGCGCCTCTCAGAGAGGCTGCCTCCCCCCCACCCCTCCCCTCCCACCCCATCCCCGGCAACCTCCCCCAGGCGGGCGCCGAGCTCCCCGCCCGGCGCGCTCCGCCCGCGCCCTCCGGGGGTCGGGGGGGCGCACGGCTCCCGGCCCGGCAGCGGCGGTGGCGGCAGCGCGGCGGCGCCAAGGGGCAGCGGGTGGCAAGAGGCCGGGGGGCGTCGGAGGGGCCCCGGCGGTGGCGCGCAGAGCCAGAGCGGCCGGCGGCGGCCCCGGGGCTGGGGGGAGTCCAGCCCGGATATTGAGTGCAGCCATTGAGAAAAGCCAAACTCTTGTGTGTGTGCGTCTCGAATAGCCCCCAAGATGGCCGCCAATGTGGGATCGATGTTTCAATATTGGAAGCGATTTGATCTACGGCGACTCCAGGTTAGTGCGGGCAGCGCCGGCCGCGCGGCCGTGGGGAGCCCTCGGGCGCGCCCTGGGCGCATTGGGGAGGTCTCCGGGAGGGCGGGCGGGCGCCCCGGGGCGGCAGGCGGCGTCTGCTGGGGCTCGCCTGGGCTCGGCTGCCCGCTGCCCATCGATAGGTATTAGGAATTGATCTCGCCGCTGCTCTTTGTTCGGTTCAATCATCGATTAGCCGCCGCGACCATGGAGAAGCGCTAGTGAGCCCTCGGCCGGGGGACCGAGCTGGCTGGCGAACGGCCGAGCAAGGCGCGGGGAAGGCAAAGGCTGGGGTCTCGGGCAGGGGGCTGCCGGCAGGACCCCTGGCAGCCCCCTTCGCGCCGCACTTTGCGAGCCTCCCAACTTCGCTGCCCGGGGGAGGCCGCGGAGCGCGCCGCGTGCCTGTCTGCGCCCGGCTGGGGCTTAGGTGAGGGAGGGAGGGAGCTGGCGGGCAGGGAGGAGTCGGAGAGAGGAGGAGGCAGCCGGGGTTGGCGAGGAGGCGGCTCCGCGCCCCGCCGCCCGTTGGCACCTCCGCCGCCGCCCTCCTGTCTGCGCAGCCAGGACGCACTGTCACCCGCGGGCCGCTGCTGCCGCCCCAGCCATCATCGCCGGACTGGCAGCCTGCGTCGGCAGATCTCTTCTCGGGCCGGGTTCTCGGGGTTCGTCTTTGCTTCTTGCCTTTACCCTCCTTTGCCAAGTCTAGATGGGGACGGGCGATGGAGATGGGCCCGGGCCGCGCGCAAGTTTGCGCTTCTGCCTCGGGGGCCGTGGAGAGCCCGGAGCGCGCTGCAGAGCAGGTGACTCCCGGCTCTCGCGCCCTTGGGAACTTTTATATAGGAGATTCCCTCGCTGTCTTCTCCCTCCTGTTTTTCCTCCCTGCCGCTCCCTGCTTTTCTTCTCTCTCTAGTCTGTTTTCCTTCGCTCTTTCTTTCTCCTTTTCCCCTCACCTTCCCTACGGGGCTCCCTTCCAAACCGCAGCACTTTATCCTCCCACCACCTTTCTCTGGGAGTCTCCCCCAGATTTGGGGGTGTTCTCTGCTGACCTCCTAGGAGGCAGGGTTGGGGTGGGATCTCAGAGAAAACCCGCTGGAAGCACAGCTCCAGCCTCTGTTCTTTCCCGGGTGCCCCAGGACGGTCAGGATAAGCCCTCCCCCCAAGACCCTGGAGTCTTGCAAAATCTGGGCAGACACAGTGGGAACAAGGGCAGGGAAATGACACTGACAACCGGGGATTACAGCATCCTGTCTTGGCCTTGACGTTCTCGGAAAAAGCAAGAGCATCAGTCTGGAGATAAAAAGGAACCCACTTAAAAAAAATCCACCGGCAAATCTCGTTAAGTTTCTTCTGATAAGTGGTTCCAGTACTCCCCTCCTCCTGGCCTCTTCCCAGCCCCCTTCACTCCCCACTCGCCCCCCTTCCCCAAAGCCATTGAGCTGGAGAGAAAATCGGGGCACTCAGGCATGCAGTTAATAACAGCGAACGCCTTGCAATTCCAGGTCCTCACTCGAGTTGGGGCTCAGTTAGGTGGCCAACTGAGGCGGGCAGGGCTGTGAGCTGTGCTTGCTGGCTTAAATGATGCTAAAGTGGCTTCTCTGGAAGAGTGGTGTGTGTGTGTGGGAGAGAGAGAGAAAGAGAAACGGAGAGGGGGAGAGAGAGAGAGAGAGTTGGGCAGCCACATTGAGCTTGGCACGAAGGCCAATGGTAATCGTATTCCCTGCTAATGTTTGTAAATGAGACCCGGGCATGGCTGGGGGACAGCGTCTTTATTTATGATTGATGTTCTGTAACATAAGGAATGACAAGAACGTGGCAGACAAGAGGAGAGGAACCAGAAGGGCTGGCGAAAGCCCTTTGCAGGGTCCTATTGTTATTCTGGGCTGGAGAAAATTTCTGCGGCGAGATTTACAGCGCTGGTATTTGCTCCCGGTTGGCCGGAATGTCAGTTAACACAATTTTCATTAGATAACTTGTTTTCAATCTAGGGAGCTCAGCCTGCATCGGGGAGGGCAGGGTGGGCTGGGTGGGCTAGGGATGGGTGCTGAGGGGTGGAAGCAGCGCCTGGGGGCTGATTTCTGAGCTGTGCTGGGGGGAGGGTTCAAACCTTACTCTCTTCCTTCTCGGGCCCAGGGGCCTTTTGTGGAGCTGTTGAGGTCACCCAAATCTTGATTCCAGTTGGACTCCCGTTGATTTGGGACCCTTTGTTAGGGTTTTAGAAGAAGTGGAAAAGCAGATTTGAACTGGAAAGGATGAAGGTGGCAGGGTCTTATTCAGGTGATGGGGAACTGGGGCTAAGAGCTGTCTCCTCACAGGGTGTATACATGGGGGAACATTCATTAAGACAATGGCTGGTGTGTCTGGCACAAAAGGATAAGGCTCTGGGGAAAGGGGGTGAGCTCATTTACATGGATATTAAGTGGGGAGGGGGCCCCTATGGGAGTTTGAATGGCTGTACACTTCTAGAGAGCAGGGAAATAATTATGGCAGCCGTGGCTGTGTGCAAACATTTAGGCCCTCGCATCTGCCATGGTCCCCACCCTCATCCGGAAATGTTCAGTTGTTCCCCTGCCCAGCAACCTGCACCTTCCCCCCGTATTCTCACTGATGGCATTTTTGTTGGAAATGGATTATGAGCCGAAGCACTTTCTCCCGGGATCATCTCTCATGCATACCAGTAATGACTCCTACGCCACACTTTTATTTTCATTTTTTTTCTCTTCCAGTTTTCCTCTTATAGGGGAGATAACCAGAAAAGAATACTTCTGTTGGTTCATTCTGAGATCCAGGTGGGAGAGGCAGGCCCCCAGCCTAGGTCCTGCACAGGCCAAAAGCTTTGGGCCCACTCGTCACGCGGCCCAGCTGCCTGTGAGTGTGAGGAGGTGCTCAGCTACAATTCTTGGTTGTTCAGGTTGAGTGGCTTCACGCAGCCTGGTTGCTGAGTGTTAAAGTGGTGGAGGCAGCAAAGGCAGCCAGTGTCCCCAGGCCAGACCATGCTGCTGACACCATCCCAATCTTGGCAAGAAAGGTGACCTTGTACTAGCCCAGCGTACAGTCCTCTGGAAGTATATATTTTTCAAATATGGAAGCAGTCCAGTTATTATTCATTCCAGTGCAATCTTTGAACACAATAGGGCTATTTTCCTAGGACGGAAGTGAGTCAACAGACTTAATGACTTGTGGGCTGATGGTAAAGACCCTCTGACACATAGCACCCCTCTTCCAGGACCCCTGCAACCCCTTTCCCTCTTCCTTTTCTTCTTTTTGCTCTGCTGTTAACAGTCCAGGAAATGAGAAGAAATAAAATTCCATCCCAAAGATAATGCTGGACATATTTCATTTGGTTATAAGATTGCTTTATGGTGAACATTACTAACGCAGTATTTTTTTATGACTTTTCTGTGTATAATCGTCGTAACTGGATTCATACCTTTATGACTTTCTTTTTCTGCTTTCCTTTGCCACTTTTTTTTTTATGATGCCCTGGGTCCAGTATTTTTTTTTCCCTTGAAGAGGGTTAATCAAGCTAACAGGAGTTGCAGGCATCCAGTCAAAAAGAGGTGGTCCAGTCCAAATGAGCTTCTGTTTCTTGGGAGGAAAGAGGTTGGCTGGAGGGATCACATTGTGCGAGTTTTGGAGGAAGAGGCAAATCGTGCTTGAGGTGTGAGCATTTAGGGAGGAAGATTGACAGGGCTAGGGAGACAGGCTTGACTTTTGTGAGGAGTTTGGAGAAACTTCTGGGAAGACTCAATTTCTTGGCGCACAGGAGATGGAACTTGATGGAATGTTTTTTTCCCTGCTCAAAGTTTAGAAAAGAGCGTGGATGTGATTAAAATATTATAACCTTATGATATTCTGAAGTGCATAAATTTTACATATCAGCCACAGAGAGTTTAGACATCCATTAGAAGCTCTGACAGCTTGACTTATCTAAATGTGCTATCATTTAACAATGTGTCAAAATTCCTCTTTCTGTAGATGACAGCAGTAAATAAGCTATCAGCCCTGTTGGCGGAATCCTAACTTTGGAAACTTCACCGTAATAGAATCACTGCCAGGGCAAGGAGCATGAGCAGATCGGGCTTGGGTTTGGCATGGTCCAGGCCCATGAGACTGGTTGGCATTAGGTGAGGGCTGCCTGGGGGAGGGGAGGGCGGAGGACAAGGGGAGAGGTGGGGGACTTGGGTGAGGGGGCATTTCTAGCCGTAGCTCCGTGAATAAAACACCAAAGAATTGGCCAGCCTCCTGGACCCTTACAAGTCTAATCTTGGGTGACCTCATTCCATCTGTTTCCCCAATTCATAAGAACCTACAGTCCAGTGGCCCTTTTCTGCAGAAGAAGCTAGAAACAGGTGTTGAGAATTTATTTAAAGATCCCTCAGTCTCTTCCAGGCATCCCAAAATTTTGGTTGCTCAACTCGGCAGAAATCGCTGCCCAAAGCGGGGTTCTCTCTTTGAGTGCTAGAAGAACAAGCAGCATCTCATCCTGACTGCCTTTGCCATACCTGCATTCACCGTAGAAAATTGAGAAAACACAGATAGCGTCTTGGTGGGTTATTTCAGATGAGCACTGTGCTATTTTGACCAGAGGGGACAGCTTTTCTCATGGTGGTAGTGATTCTTCTCCTCCCTCCCTCCCCTCCTTCCTTCCTCTTCCACCTCCTCCTCCTTCCTTTTCTTCCTCTTCCTCTTCTTTTCCTTCCTCCTCCTTCTTCTCTTCTGTTATAAAGAGAATTCTGTCTTCGAACTTGACATTCTATTGTGGTAACCTTGCTTCTAGCACATGGGATTTCAAACGTGAACATCTTGGCTGATGCTAAATTTGGTCCTGGATAGGCGTGGCCGTCCAGAAAATCTGGTTTTCTCTGCTGCATTCTGGAAGTGCTGAGTTTCCGGCAGTTTCTCAGTTATCTAATTGTGAGGCTGAGCCTGGCCAAGGTTGAGCGTGGGAAGGGGATTGAAGTGGTGACCTGTCTTTGTCCTTGGCTTTG